AAAAATCCTGTTTAATAAACAGTTTCAAGGTATTTTTGATTCATACATTTATGCTTTACTGCTTCATTTGGGTGGGTGGGTGCCTTCAAGTCATTTCTAACTCTTGTATGGTGACCCCAAAGTGAATCTATCATGCAATTTTCTTGGCAAGATTTGTTCAGAGGAGGTTTGCCATTGCCTTCTGAGGCTGAGAGTGTGACTTGCCTAAGATCACCCAGTGGATTTTGTGACTGAGCAGGAAATTGAACCCTGGGCTCCAGAGTTGTAGTCCAACGGACAAACCACTATGCCACACTGGCTTTCAGTATATATAACTAACTAACTGGAGGTTTAGTATATTTGGTGGATACATTCATAAACCTTTTCCCAATGTCCTCCAAATATTGTTGTACTTCAACTCCCAATAACCCCAATGAAAATGGGACTGGAAGCTGTGGACTAAAACAGTTGGAGGGGAACTAATAAGACGAAGAGTGTTATATTTTTAAAAAAATCAACATTTCTTTTGAGTTCACTTAGTCAGCAGGTCCTGTCTGATCTCAGAAACAAAGGTCCAAAACACACTGCAGAAGTAATCCAGCTCAAGACCGCTTTAACTGCCCTGGCTCAGTGTTAGGGAATTCTGGTAATTGTAATTTAGTGAGACATTTAGCCTTCTCTGTCAGAGAGCTCTGATGCCACAATGAACTACATTTCCCAGGATATCCTAGCACTGAGTCAAGGCAGTTAAAGTGGTCTCGAACAGGATTGTTTCTGCTCTGTGTTTTGGACCTAAGCAGGGATGGGCATGGTTAGCACTTGGAAGGAAGACTGCCAAGGAATAAATGCTTTAGGATATATTCAGTTGAATAAGCTCCTTTAAATGTAGGTGAGAGAAGCAGACAACAACTATTTTGATTAAAAATGCTCGTTGTATTCTTTAATCATCAGAAGATATAGGCTATTCTCTTTGAAATTAAACCAGACTTACATAGACTTAAGATTTTGTACCACTGTCTCATCATTTGCAGGAAATGCCTTGCTTCCCAGGAAGGGCATAATTTTTACTCTCAAATGCTATAGTTGGCATTTTGCACTTGAGCAATACACAGTATTGGCCACGGTCGTCATTCACACCTGGGACAATTGTGCTAATTTTTTATTAGCTACTCATGAAGCAAAGAGCAGAGTATTTTGTTCACAGCTTCCCTGCCTAGGGATTGAAGGTCCATTTTTCTTTCGCTGCACTATTGGATTTGCAAAGTGCTCCTGTAGCCTTTCTCTTCAAGTATTCTTTAGCTGAAAACTGATGTAGCAAAGGGAAATTGTGTTTGTGTTGGTGTCAGTTAATCATGCAGCTCTCATATTCACACCACTGTAAGAAACATGTAATTAATTGGGGGATAGCATGTGTTTGTGTGTGTGGTGCACTGAACATAGTATTTGTTTCTTTGTTTGTGCTTTTTGGTTTTTCACTGTTGACTGAATGATGAAATACCCAAACACTGGAAAAACTAGTTTCTGCAGGGCAGCGCTTGAACATGTAATGGACATAATTATCATGAGAAGCAGCAGCATCTGCATTCATATGGTGCTATAAAATGTTGAGAACATTTCACACTATTGTTTTGTAATTCCTGTAGAACTCCAGTAAGGTAGGTGCCAGGATTAAGGCTGAAGGCTACACAGTGAGTTTGGGATGGGGCAAAGTTTGATTGGGGACATTGGTGTATGTGCTTCCTTATGTATGGGTGGGAGGGTCTCTATCCCCCCCCCCCCCCCCGGTCCCTTGCCTCTCAGATGCTATCTATGACCATTGAGGAAGTCCTTTGAGAAGGGCAGGAATAGCTGATGTCATGAGTGGGAGATGAAAAGCCCCTGCAAATGTGCAGGTACTTTGGGTCACTGGTCAGGTGAGAACTAAAAAATGCTGTATATTGCCCCTAAAATAAAATACATGTTGTGTATAAAATAGCATGTGTAAACAGGAGACATAGTAGTGTGTTGCTTCTTTTTCCAGGGACCTCCTACTGATGCTCCTGCAGTTGACACAGCTGAACAGGTTTACATCTCTTCTCTTGCGCTTTTGAAGGTAAGTGTTTGTACAGGTTGAGTCTCCCTTATCTGAAATGCTTGTACCAGAAGTGTTTGAGATTTTTTTCTAGATTTTGGAATATTTGCATATACATTATGAGATCTTGGAGATGGGACCTAAGTCTAAATACGAACATTATTTATGTTTCATACAAGCCTTATATACATGGCCTGAAAGTAATTTTATAGAATATATTTAATAATTTTGTGCATGAAATGTTTGTGTACATTGAACCATCATAAAGCAAATGTGTTAGCCACCATGAATAAAATTTTGGATTTCAGAGCATTTCAGATTTTGAATTTTCAGATAAAGGATACTCAACCTGTATTTTATTTGAATGATATTGCACAAAGCATTGTTGATAGCAAGGTTTGGGGGGGATCTTTGGTTCTCCAGATGTTTCAGACTACAAGTCCAGTCATCTTTAACCATTGTCCATGATGGCTGGGAATTGTGGGAGTTGTCCAGAAGTGCTTGAGGCAAAGTGCTCCATCTGTATTTGGCATAAAGGATTGGGAGGAAGAATTCTTCAGTTCTTAATATTAGGAATGAAAAATGTTTGCAACCCTTTCATATTAACTGTGCCCTAATTTGTTCTTTTATAATCATTTGGAACACTTACCATAAATTTGTACTTTGAATTGTTTGTTTTAACAGGTAGAACACATGAAGTACAACACTTCTATTCAGAGTTTTAGCAGTCCACTCTATTCCTATTTCAATCCTGACTTTTCTTGCTTCCCCCATTCATCAGTAGTCCATCAGTACTGAACATGTTCTTTCTTCATCGATCTTTTTTCAAGCAGTTTCCTCCTGCATTTTAATTTGTCTCCGTAATTAAGGGGCCCTGGAGAGGTGGCAGTGAATAGTGATACCAAGTTATATTTACATTAAAATATTTTCATATTGATTTATCTTCTCAACTATCTTTTTCTTCCTGAGACATAATAAAGTACCTTCTCAGTGTGAACCTAGAAGTGACCTATCTAGACAATGTGGTAGTTAAGCTCTTTCCCTTTCTTTTTCACACACCTTATTCCATTCTTCTGCCTGATAATTTTTCCTTTTCCAGTTCTTCTCAGGCTGCTCAGGTTTCTTTCCTTTTCCCACTAACCCAGCCATCAGATATTTTAAACATTTGCAAACCTTACGATTATCCAAGTTAGCTGATACCTTTCGTGGGGTTGTAGAGTGTTGAGAACATGAGCACAGGAAGACTTTAATCAGTATTGGAATGATTGTTATGCTACTGTTTTTTAATGCATAACTCACAGCTCTTATTTTAATGGTTTCTCCAGGTTTCTGGCTTGCCAAATATCAACAGCTAGTTACCATCCCATTGCCTTCAGTATTCAAGCCTTATGGATGTGAAGGGTGGAATCTCCCTTCTCCTGTGGTTTCTGCTTAGACTGGATACCATTGTGGGAAGTGCAGGAACCTGCCTTTCCTCCGTGGCATGTGTTTCTGTCTGTATAGTGAAAGGGGCCCTCTTCGTGCTTGGAGATGTGGCTCCTCCAGGTTCCTGCCACATTTTACACTTGCTTCATGTGTTGCTTCCTATCCCATTTGGGATGGCTTTCTCTATATGAAGCACAATCCTTGCTGATATTGTTGATTAGCGGTCAGGGACTCAAGTAGCATATGGGGAGCTGCATCTCCAAGCAGCAGTTAAGAGTGCACATGCTTCACTTGCTGTTCTTTATCCTTATGTTGTCTTGGACCATTGAATTTAAGTAACATTGGAGATTCTTCCAGTGTTGAAGAGAGCACAGGGGAAGGATTTGAGAGGGTCACAGACCAGATGCAGAGTTTCTTTGGGCTAGATTAGGCCTGTAAGATGGAGGTTTACCATCCCTTGCATATAAAGCAATAATGTAGTTTGCAAGGTGCAGGGAAGCCAGTTCTTTTTGCTCTGCATAAAATGTCACTGTCTTTAAGGCATTACAGTTCTAAAGGTATGAATATGTAATAGAAAAAACAAATTCCATAGAATCAAACTTCTGTCCCATCAATAGTATTTCATTAGAATTCTGATCTTTCCAGATGCTGAAACATGGTCGAGCTGGTGTCCCTATGGAAGTTATGGGGCTAATGCTTGGAGAATTTGTTGATGACTATACGGTCAGAGTGATTGATGTGTTTGCTATGCCACAGTCAGGAACGGTGAGTACTCTTCAGTGAGTAAATGTGTAGTGTCACACTGGATAACTGTATGTCAATTTTTTTCCTCCCGCACATGCATATTAGTTGTGAAACAGATACTGATGGTTGAAATGCATACATCCAGGTTTAAAAAATGTGATGTCCTATGTTCTGCATAACACTTTTCATTTCATTGTTTAAAACTTAGCTCTCCAGTGGTACAGAGCTATTCAGTTTATACCGCAGTGCCTTAAGTTGCAGAAAGCTTTCAAGCCTGTTGTAAATAACGCTGAATGTGGGATCAAAATTACATCATATTTTATCAATAATGATTCTTCTAAACTTATACTTAGAATCTTTTAAGTAGTTGTTCTAGACCAGTGATCCCCAAATTTTGAGAGGTTACCATCCACTTTCCTATTAGCCAACAACCCTAGCCCACCCCAATGCTTTTCCCAGGACAAGAAGGACAGTGGGACTGCCCCCTCACCATTGCTGCCTCTGTTTTGTGTAACAGCGGAGAGGGGCACAACTGGCTTTCCACATTTTTCCCTGTCAGGAAGGACACTCAATCCTTCTTTGCCAGGGTAGAGAGGGGCTCAGCTGGCTTCCCACTTTTCTCCCTGGTGAAAAGGACTCCTAATCCTTTGCTGGGGCAGAGAGGGGCACAGCTGGTGTGTGTGTAGGGGATTACAGAGACCACAAGGTCTGAACTGGAGATTCGCGTGGACAAGAAAAGGGAAAGATTTTAACTACAGGAGCCACTCCCAAGGCAAAGAACACTTTCCAAGAATTAACCCTGGAAACTGCTCCCCCTCCTTCCCAGGAGACATGATTTCCCCATGCAGCTTCAAGTCACACACACGCATATCCAAACATAGTTCTACTACCTCTTCTTTTGGCCTATCCAATGAAAGAAGGCAGGAGCAGTAGTGCAGCTCCAACCTGCCAGTCAAGTTCCAGCAAAGCTCACTTAAGCAGGGTCCCAAATTTGAAAGCACCTTTTGGCTGCTGCTTCTCCCCCACTGCCACATGCTCTAACAGTCTAACTCAGGGGTCAGCAACCTACAGCCCGGGGGC